GGCAAAGAGGCAAAGAAAAGAGGAAGGGAACAGCCAAATACAACCAAACAAAACAGGGGGCAACAAGCAATAGCACCAAAAACGGATCCTAGATGACAAGTCCCACATGCAAGCACCCCCCCTCCCTCCTTCACAGGCCAAACGACAGGCCAAGACCACCCAGGACAAAACTCTTGTCTGCAAAAAAAGAGAAATCCCAGATTACATATCTATATACAGCAGATGGCCTTATTCGTCATCAAGACGTGGGTATTCCCATTTGTAAACCGTTCTTACTGGGACAAAAAACATAAAAGACAATCTCAGATGATGATTCCCACATAAAAGCACCGCCCCCTCACACAGGCCGAACAACGGGAAGCAACCAACTACCGTCTTCCCCCAAACATAACGCACCCTAAAAATGAATGTATACAAGCTATATTTCCAGCCAGATACGGCCAAAATAAGGGTGCGTTGTGTTCGGGGGAAGACGGTAGGATGCCAAGACAATAAAAGAGAACCCGGATGACTGGTCCCACATGTAGTTTTTATTTTTTTATATATCGTCAAACAGAACTGCCGACGGTAAACCGTAGGCAGAGAGGGAGAAGAGGACAACAAACGAGTATATAACATACATCTTATATATATATTAATATTGCAGATATAAAATAGATACACAACATAGAAATATATACACATAGAGATGTTTGTGTGTAAAAGATGGATGAAAGGAAGACAAGTCGTCTCACTGTCACACAGGGTCTCATTGTCACACATTAGGAATGAGATTCAATTAACCTACATGCGGTACTCTGTACCAGCACGGTTTCCCTCGCCTTGTGATAGATCTGTCCATGATATCATCAGAGACAAGAAAAAATGCCTGCACCTGCACAACCAACCACCCCACAGCGCGTCAGGTCCTTAGAAGATTCTACAATAATAAGAGAATATCATGCAAAAGATTTCTCACACCATACACACAGTATATACTATATAGTATATACCACACTTCATAACACAAAAGTGTAAAAAACACATGCTTGATGAAACAGCCATCACTCCAGCGGGTTCTGGTTTCCGCGACCAGTTTCAACCGCAGCCACATGAGCTGAGGACCCCTTCCCGCTCCTCAGCTGGTTCTGTTCCACGCCCACAAGATGACATGAACCCGCGCGTGTCATCTTGTGCAGGGCACACAAACAAAATCACGAAATGATCAGATTTGAATTTTGAACTCATGAGGGGTGGGAAGGGGTTGTAAAACCTTTTCCCCGCGCACTTGCTATGCACACATCAAAGCCCTTATGAAGTTATGACTAAGGGACAATTTAACTTACTATGGGCCCATCACACACACACACACACACACACACACACACACACACACACACACACACATGTACCCAATGCAGACGCATGCATGCATGTAGATGCACACACGCACGCAGGTGTATGAATGCATGCAGACACACACGCACGCACGCACGCACGCACGGATGCGAAACACACACGGATGCACTCATGCATGCTCACACACACACACACACACACACACACACACACACACATTCGCATTCATCCTCCAGGTAAGTCGTTGAAAGTGCAATGAAGTCTGCCATAGTCATGTTTTGTTGGTGTGGAGTTGTATATGACAGACATCTTGAAACCTAGTTTCATTTAAGCATCCAACGGACAGAAGGAACCACAGTTCTAAAATTTCACGTTTCCTAAATTGGGCTCTCTCCTGCGGGCATAGGGTCGGCAGCTGTGATTAGGGAGGGTGGTGATAAGCATAGATGATGGGGAAGAGCAATCTCAAGGCCGAGAGGTAGAAGAGAGCAAGTATGTAGCACATACATATCAAGTATATTACATAGTCACTGCCTTCTTCATCCAAATAGAACGCCCAGTCATTATAGCTGTATTTGGTGCAACTTGCAGTTCAGATGCGGCGATTATTACCGGGCATTCTATTCGGGTGAAGATGGCAGGAACGAGAAATCAGACAAAAGAATAACAATTGCAACAACCGGCACGAGAAAACGAGAAACCGTCCCCCGATACTTCTAATCCCCTATTTCCCCTGGTTCCAAACCTGTTTATCCACCCCCCCCCCCCCCCCCCCCCCCCCCCCCCCCCCCCCCTCCCCCCCCCCCCCCCCCCCCCCCCCTCTACTCCCCCTAGATCTGAACCTCTCTCACCCACTCTACCTCCTCCAAACCTGTCTCCCTCAACTTCTCAAGCCTCTGTCACCCACTCACTTCTTCCCTTACTTCTCTCCCCCTTCCTCGAATGTGCAAGATGGTGAGCGGAGAGAGAGAGAGAAAACAGAGAGAGAGGGAGGGAGAGAAAGGGAGGGGGAATCTGATGAGGCATTGGGTTCGATTACAAGTATGCGCCTTTCCTGGGAGAGAGATGGTGGGGAGTTGCCTTAGTCTGGCTCTGGAGGGGGGTCTTTGTTGAGTGCAAAGCGGCGAACGTAAGGGCAAAATTGGTGAATGCAAGAGACCTACATATGCTTCTTCTTCTTCTTCTTCTTCTTCTTCTTCTTCTTCTTCTTCGCCGTCGTCGTCGCCTTCTTCGTCTTCGTCTTCTTTCTTTCTTTCTTTCTTACTTTCTTTGTTTTTTTCTCTTTCTTTTTCAATTGGGACGAGTCCGCACACATCCATCTGGACCATCCAGATCAATCCAGACCATGTCAGGATGGTCTGGATTGGTCCAGAAGTCCGGATGTCCGCATGGCATCCAGACTGCCCGGCTGCACGGGTCCGGATTTGACCGGTGTGCGGGTTCGCCGTAGCCATTATATTTTTAACGAATAATAAAAAAAAGACGGTGAAAAATTGAAAATTTCATACATACCCACTCTATGCACCACCCCAACACGCATGCCCGGAAAAAATCTTCCTCTGTTACATTCTCCTTCAGTAACTTCAAACTGTGTACCACGGAGAGACCCCGATTCAGCTTCCCTGACAGCACCCCGAAAGACCAGGCATAAGTACAGAAGATGGATCATAGGCAAAACGCCAAAAACATAAACAACCGGCTTCTTGTTTTACCTCCGAATACCCCTTCTCTCTCTCTCTCTCTCTCTCTCTCTCTCTCTCTCTCTCTCTCTCTCTTTTTTTCTTTTTTTTTTTTTTTTTTTTTTTTTTTTTTTTTCTCTTTTGTTTTGGGACGCTCTTCTTTTAGTATCTACGGAAGCATAGCATAGAAAAGTTGATTTTTTTATGTATAGTATCTAAGTACTGTATATATAGCGCCACATGAATATGAGAGCGCAAAGGCCAAAAAAACAGAAGAAAACAAGAAAAAAATAATTCGTTTTTTTAATCTTCTTTCTTACAACTCCCCCTGTTCAGAACCTCTTGCGTACAAGGCCGCCCACGTGGATGTAGGTTGAGCGGCGGCTGCCCCCACC